AGGTGCCTTTCCTTCATTTTCATCTGTTAATACTGAACAAAAATATTAATTGAGGCAGCCAGCTAGACCTTTATCCTCTTCTACATACCTTCCTTCTTCTGTTTTTAATCTAACTAATCCTTGTTTTACTTTTCTTTTCTCATTTATGTATCTAAAAAAAGTTTTGTCCCCCTTTTTTACTGCCTGTGCTATTTTCTCTTCTGTGTGAGATTTGGATGCTCTTATAACTTGCTGAGCCTCTTTCTGTCTAATCTTATAGATATTTTTGTCTTCCTCACTCTGTTTTTTTTTATAATTACTAAATGCTAACTTTTAGTTTTGAACTATTTTGGCCACATCTGCGGAATACCACAGTGGTTTCTTGAATTTTGTGCTTTTACTGACAAGCCTAATGCAATTTTCTGTTGCCTTCAGTAGTGCAACGTTTAAATAATCCCTGCAGATAAGAAGGGGTTCAGTCATGCTATTAAAGTGCCGCAACACACAACCAGGCCCATGATGGCCCATGTCTATTAGGTGGCCCTAGGTGCGTGGCCCACCCGATGGGTCCTGCAGATTCCCAGCCTATGCAACACGGGCGGTTTTGTTTTTTTATATAACCCTGGAAGAACTAAATTGCAGCCCTGGGGGTTATGCTACAACAGGTTAGGATCCACTTGTCTAAAGCAATAAGCCTTCTTAGATTTTGTTGTTATTAAGAAAGTTTTTAATTTTCATCCCAATAGGGATAAGAGAGGAAAACCCTGCCTCATACCTTGGTTATCGGAAAAGGTAGGGGATAGAATTCCTGTTTGCATAATTTGTGATAGCTGTCTGGTGGAGAGTCCAAAGATAACAGACAAAGATGGGAGGGAAACCGACTTTATGCAACGTTACTTCTAAGAAACCCCAGCCCAGGTGGTTGAAAGCTTTCTTTGCAGCTAGGGCCAGTAGTCTACCACCAGCGCTGGAAGACCTCAGACACTGTAGAATTAAGAATAATTTCCTAGTATAGTCCACAAATTTGTTAATATGGACACATCACGTTTAGTCTATTTCTATCACTTTGGTAGTAAGGGGCCAAATCTATCTTCTAGGGGTTTAGCACAAATTCATGATTTAAAAGGGATATGGTGTGATTGTTTTTACAATAGTCAGAATCTTTACCTGGTTTAGGTAACATTATGATTGTGGCTAATAGCATATCAGTTGGTAGCCCTCCTGTCTCTCTAGCTTGATTAAAGACTCTGAGAAGAAATGGTGCTAAAGGGGGGGCAAATGTCTTATTAGATTTTGAAGAAAATCCATCTAGGCCTGCAGATTTACCCAAGGGTAGTTGACGGAAGGCACTTCTGAATTCCTCTAATTGTTGTTGGGTTATGTGGGGCAGCTCTACCTTATTTAAGTAATCTGAAATATCTTGCCATGTAGTCTGATGTAATTCAAAGTCCTCCTCCAGATTGTATAATTAAGCATAGAATTTAAAAAAAGTTAGACTAATTGACTGTGGGTAAGAAACTAATTCTTTCTTGAGTAGTTTGCAATTTAGGTACAAACTTGTCTAACTTGTAGCTTTTGTGTCAATAATTGATAGTTTTGATAAGATGTATGTAAAATCTGGTTTGGGATCGATCGTCACTGTTGAATCTTCTTAATTTCTTCTTGTCTTCAGTTGATTGATATATATGTCTTTTGTATATATAGTCTTGTGCCAAATATAATGCTCGCAACATTAATATGTGTCTATATTAATGAAAAGTACTAATACACAATCTGACTTACGGTTTCTTCAGGTTTATTCTTAGTTACGGATACATAATAAAACAAAGGATGTTACAGGATAATTAATGTTCAACAGCAGATGGTAATTGATGGACTTCTGATGGGAGAGTTATATCGTTGTACAGGAAAGAGAGCCAAGAGAGAGCCAAGAGAGAGAAAATGTGGGGCCAGGGCAGCCAGGCCCCCCACCTGATGGCGGCCCTGGCTGCTCCAGGTGGGCCAGTCCAGCCCTGGGGGGCAGCCAATAGATTATAGAAGTGAGGCATGGGGAGGCAGCCGATAGATTAGGGAAGTGAGGCGGGGGGGGGCAGCCTATAGATTAGGGAAGTGAGGCATGTGGGGTGCAGCCTATATATTAGGGAAGTGCAGGAAGGGGCAGCAAGGAGCAGGAAATGTCTGCAAGGAGAGGGAAGGGACAGAAGGAGCACAAAGGGACAGCAAGGAGCACAAAGGTAAAGTAGAAGAAGGAGCAGAAAAAGTCTGCAAGGAGCAGAAAGGGATCAGAATGAGAAAGGAGCAGAAGTGCGCAAAATAAGCAGAAAGTAGCAGAAAGGTAAAGGAGCAGAAGGAGCCAAGGATAGAAGACAGTGTCAGAAGAAAAAGAAGACTGTCAAATGAAGGAGAAGAAAAGGAGATTGGAGCAGGAAGGACAAATGAAGTGAACCCTCCACTTTATTCTGGACACCACATCATAAGGCTTCCTGCGGACGCCCATGGTCCCAAGCTCTCGCTAAACTAAATGTCTGTAATAACTAAACTAAATGTAGTAATCTTTTCAAAGTGAAGAATCTACCTCACCTAAAACAGCATTATTCACAGTTTTTTGTGACTCACCCAGCTTATGATTGTGACCCATGGCGTCCTGGGCCACTTCACTCTCTTCATACAGCCTAGGTCTCTCCTCAGCATCTTTATTCTTTTGTTCAGATTTCTTGCTTTGTTTCTACTGCCTCTTCTTGGAGATGGTGAAAAGGTCTCCTTGGATCTTTTAATCCTTGCCTTGCAGGGGTCACTCTCACCAAATCTTTTTCTTGCACTGGCCCCTTAATTGTGTGAGGGAAACAGCCAGTACACTCCTCCATTGTAATTTCCTCCTGCAGTTCAGCCCCTTTCTCTTCAACTCGTTCACACCTTCAGTACCAGGGGCTGAGTACCAAAAGAGAGCCTCAGAAGTGCCAGACATTTTCCTGATTTAAGAGCTGTAGCTCAATACTTACAAGCAGCTAACCTTTAATTCGCTTCAGCTTAGTGATTAAACAGTAAACCTTCTATTTGTCTGGCACCAGCTGAGGTGAATAATTTTTTGCCGCCTTTAAATTTATACCCTGCGGTTCCCGCCGCTAGGTAGCTCGCGCTGCAATTAGCCAATCAGGAACCCTACCTACCTGAGCACGAGTTTCCCGCCCGAAACCAGCCGCACGCTCTACCCTGAACCTGACACCTGGCTTGTGCTACCTCCTTGCAGTCACCTGATACGTACCCACAAACCTCCGCTCCATCAAACCCCATGAGGCTGCTCCTTATGAGTCCGCTCGCCTGGCATTAGGTGCAGTGGCAAATTCTTCCATTTTATTTTCTCATTTTTTTTCTCATTTATCATTTTTATTAAATGACATTTGCAACACATAACATGGTACATAATTACAGTCCGCCTTTACAACAACATTTGCGGATAACATTCTACATTTCGCCCTGTATCCAGCCATACTTCTCACTCAATTGATCAAATAACCAATTAAATATACAAATAATCCGTATGCCAGGCGATGTTCGATGTGATGCATACAGCTTCAAAGCATGCGGTACATTTTTTTTTTTTTTTAAATATAACTAGGGAGGGGATGGGATACAGAAGGAAAGAGGGGGGGGGGAAAGTCCCTGATCACAGCTTCACGCCACAGCCTGCAGTACATTATAAATCACCTTCCTTGTGTAATTTGTGAGATTGATGAGGCTATATATTCGCCTGAGCACCTCAACGCCCTGACCCCTTTGGTCCCCTAACGTTTGCGCCTGTGTGCTTCCTTACTGGCCCGCTATGAGGGTTAACCATTTGGTTCGAGCAGTCGGTTTGTCTTAGTTGTCATTCAGTGACTATGTAGCCGTCCAACAGACCCATTCTTTATCATACTTTCCTAGGCATCCTTTTAGCTTGCTGGTCATTTTCTCGTATATGCTAATCACATTCATTTTGTTGATAATCACCTCTACCTGAGGAACTTGTTTGCTTTTCCAGTTACCAGCTAAGGCTACTTTTGCTACCGTCAGTATATTCAGAATCACTTTTTTGTGAGGGTGTGTGTCTAGGTCTGGTATAACATGTAATAAGTACTTGTCCGGTCGCAATGGGATGGAGGTGCCAGTCGTACTTGAGATCAGGGTTTGGATTTGTTTCCAGAATCCGTCTAGCAACGGGCATTTCCAGAACACATGTAACATGGTTCCAGTGTCCGACTCGCATCTCCAGCACAAGTTCGTAGCTCCTGAGTACATACTTGCTAGTCTCTGTGGTACCAGATACCACCTCATAGTTATCTTGCAGTAGGCCTCCCATAGCGAGAGGCTACTCGATGCCTGTTTTGTATTTGCCCTTGCAGACTGCCAGTCTGCTTGGGAGATATGAAATCCCAGGTCCTGCTCCCATTTTGCCATGTATTTCAGTTTATCTGGGGTGTTATCTGTGACCAACGCATTGTAACATAGGGAGAGTGGTTTTACTGCTTTTGTCAGAGATAAGTGGCTAGGTTGGAGTACCGGAGAGTTAGTTCGAGCGACTGTTTGTTTACCATGGGTTAGTATTATGTTTTTGATTCTTAAATAAAGGTACAGATCTCTCAAGTCTAACCCCAGTTCCTCTTTCAATTCAGGGAATGGTTTCACCGCGTCTCCTGACATTAAATCCCTCACTAATCTCGCTCCCTTGTTGAGCCATTTGCCCACCTGTATGCCTGGGGAGTAGGCTGCTAGTGTTGTGATGGGTGCTTCCCTAAATAATCGTACCGGGTCCAGCACCTTCGGACACCATGTCTTCCATGCTTTAAGCATAGTGATCGAGCATCTCAGGGTCGTGCCGGCAGATGTTCGGGGCAAGGAGCATGTCCACAAGTAATGGACTGTGTCATGTGCCTCTAGGCATTCATTTTCTAATGACAGCCAGAGCGGTTTACGGGGAAGGGTATGGTTCCTAATGAGTCGCAGTCCCTGTGCCAAGAAAGAGGCCCTATAGTACGCAGTTACGTCCGGCATCCCCAGTCCACTTTGGACATAAGGAAGTCCCAGACACCCTTTATTCACTCTCGGGGGTTTCCTCTTCCAGATGTGAGCATTGATCGTGCTTTGGAATTGTTTGAGCAGCACAGTCGGGAGGAATATGGGCAGGGTTCTGAATAGGTATAGGATGTGTGGCAGTGTCATCATTTTAATTAGGTTGATACGTCCGAGCCATGAGGTATCCATGTTAGCCCACTGTTCGAGGGAGGATTTGATTTTCTTTAGCACGGGGTAGTGATTTTCTTTGGTCACCGTTTGGAGGGATTTGGTGAGGTTTACACCTAAGTATTTTAAGGAATTGGTGCGCCAATCAAAGGGATGTTGTGGTTTTATCCTGTCTAACGTAGGTTTTGGTAGGTTTATGGGTAGAGCTTGCATTTTGGTTATGTTGTTTTTATAGTACGATATCTCCCCATAGTCTACCAGCGTTCTCATTAGAGTGGGAAGGGAGGACTCCGGTTTTGTAACAAACAGTAGTATGTCATCGGCAAACAGAGCTAATTTCTTATCGCCCCCTGGGTGTGCAGCCCCTTTATATTGGGATCATTTTTTACTATCCTTATTAGCGGTTCCAAGCATAGGATAAATATTAGGGGGGAGAGGGGACAGCCTTGCCTGGTGCCATTACATATGGCGAACCTGTTAGATACAAAGCCCGTGCTAAAAACTTTTGCTGAAGGGTTTTGATACAGTGCCATTATGCTTGATCTAAAGTTTAGTGGGAATCCCATTTTGGTGAGGGTGAGCAACATATACCTCCAGTGTAGGCGATCAAACGCCTTCTCAGCGTCAAGCGCTAGCAAGAGTCCCACTTGATGCGAGGCGTTCGCCCAGTCAAACAGGTTCAGGAAATGTCTAGTGTTGTCCCCTACTTGACGCCCCTGGACAAAGCCCGCTTGCTCCTCCGAGACAAGGTCAGCTAGGATTGGTTTAATTCTAGAAGCGAGGAATTTGGCATACAGTTTGGTGTCTGCGTTCAGGAGGGAGATCGGGCGTAGGTTTGCACAGTGTGTGGGGGGTTTATTGGGTTTGGGTAACGTCACTATATGTGCCTCCAGCATTTCCATGGGCATAGTCCCTGCATTTTTTATGTGATTAAATAGGTTGGTGAGAGGCGTGAGTAGTTGTTTGGTCAGTTTTATGTAGTAGTAGTTGGATATCCCGTCTGGTCCTGGGGCCTTATGTTTGGGAAGGGATTTGATTGCTGTTTCTACTTCGTCCTCCGTGAAGGGGTTCTCTAGTTGGGTTCGTTGTGCTTGTGTTAGGCTGGCTAGGGGCGCTCTATCCAGAAAACGTGCTATCTCGTCTTCCGTCGGTTGGTGTATGTAGGGATCTTTTTCTAATTGGTATAATGAGGCATAGTATTTCGCTAGTTCGTTCACTATGTCTTGGGGGTTGTATAATTTATCCCCAGTTGTGGAGGTTATATACGGGATTTTAGATTGCAATTTGGTTTGTTTCGCTTTGTTGGCCAGCATTTTCCCAGCTTTATTACCCATGACATAGTGTGATTGCTTCAAAAACCTCAAGTGTCGTTCTGTTACAGCGAGGTTTAGGCTATGTAGTGTTGTACGAAGCGACATCAGTCGCTTATGTGTTGCCGTAGTGGGGTTTGTTTTATGGGTGGATTCTACTGTGGCCAGGTCTTTCTCTACCTTGTCCAGTGTTGTGTTGTGCAGCCTCTTTGTCCTAGCCCCTATCTGGATTAATTCTCCCCTCATGACCGCCTTATGGGCCAGCCATTTTGTGGCGTCGGATGACGAGCAGTCAACGTGGTCAGCGAAAAATTCCGCAGCCCGGACCTGTAGTCGTTGGAGATGTGCTGGTACGTCTAACAGACCTTCATTCAGGCGCCATTTGCCTCTACCCCTAGCTGGGTACGGAATTTGCATAGTGACAACGTATGGGGCATGGTCAGACCACGTGATCGGCCCAATGTGAGCCTTAATGGCGAAGGGCAATGTTTTGGTGTCGAGCAGACAGAGATCAATTCTCGTGTAGGTCCTATGGACCGACGAGTAGTACGTGTAGTCCCTCCCACTCGGGTTCAAGCTTCTCCATGTGTCATAGAAGTCATGCCCGTGCAATAATTTCCTAAAGTGTTGGCCTAGTGAGATTGAATGTTGTTGTGGTAATTTGTTCCCCTCTCGTTTTATATCGACATCGGGATCTGGAACGCAATTAAAGTCCCCGCATATAATTGTATGGCCCACTCTGAGCTTGTCAATTGTCCTAAACACTGTGCTGAGGAAGGTTTTTTGCTTATCATTCGGCGCATATATGGAAGCTATAGTCACCGATAAACCATTTAAGGAGCCCACTAATATCAGTATTCTCCCGTCTCGACTGGCAAATTGGTTGGATGGTGTGAATGCCCAATCCCTATGGAAATAGATAGCAACTCCTTTAGCTTTAGTGTCTGACATAGCGTGGTATCCTTGGGGATACTGTTTGACAGTGAGTTTGGGGTGTTTCCTAATGCAGAAGTGTGTCTCTTGGAGGCCTATAATCGCTGCCTTGGACTTGGTCATTTCCTGTACTGCTAGCCTCCTTTTGTGTGGGCTGTTGAGACCCTTAACGTTTAAGGTGAGGATCGCCAAAGAGTCAACCATGATCCAGGTGTAGTGTTATGCTATGCTGGGGCCGTGGGATGACATTCGCTGCTTGCGACATGTGGTGTGCTGCTGGTCCGGGACCAAAAGGGGAAACGTAGGGACAGTGGACACAAATACAGGGAGGGAGAAAAAAATAACTAAAGTATGTACAAAGCGCCATAGACACAACTAGCGCTCTACGTGGGTGAGGTGTGAGCGGGCAGATTCTATCCGTCTCACGTCTCATCCTGGGGACGCACCTGGGTGGTGCAGCCGAGTGCGTGACAGCTTTCCTCTAGGTAAACTTATTCCTACCCCACAAATACGTCTGAGATGTCCACCAGGACCCACCATTTGATCACAAACAATACCCTCTCCTCCATCTTGCTACCATGTATATGCCATGCTGTCACAAAACCTGTACAGTATATACTATCTGAGTCGTGACTTCTGTACCCTATACCCCCCACTTGCTGTAGTACTTGTAGAGTTGCGTCCCTACCGTCCCTTTGTACCTGCCCTGACTCCCCACCCGCTGGGTTTGACAAGGTTGGTCACCCTGCTACGTAGTGCCTTACTCCTTGGGCAGTAGGGACTCACATATAATGTATTACATTAAGAGGTTCAGAATGTCATACTCACAATCCAGTTACATTAGCATGTCATAGAGCGGAGGCTAGCATTGAGTTAGTGTCTCTCAGTGTCCAATTTTATAGTGGGTAGTGGTATGTCCTTGTTGGGTCCCGACTGGAGCCCTATTCTTTCCTTTGTGGCGAGCCCGCCATCTTCCATTCAGCCTGCGGTCCTCTCGGGGATGCTGTAGTCGAAGCGTCTCTCGGTGATAGCGGGAATAGGCCCCATTCTTTTAGTAAGCGCATTCCCACCTCCGGTTCGTTGACGGTATGCGTTTTGGCATTCCTCCATATAAGTAGTTTTGTTGGATAGCCCCATCTGTATTGTATGCCGTTGTTTCTCAGGGACTTCGTCACGTTAATGAATTCTCTGCGTCTGCCCATTGTCATAGCTGACAGGTCTGCGTATAATTGTAACATCTGTATACGGGGTGGGCATCACGGTGATTTTCCTCGCCGCCTGCAGAAGATGGTCTTTCGTCTTATAGTAGTGGAAGCGAGCGACCACGTCGCGCGGCGTATCTTTATGCAGATTCTGCGGTTTCGGTAGTCTATGAGCTCGGTCCATGAGCCATTCTGGGTCCGATATCTCCGGCGCCAGCGACTTGCACAGGGAAATAAGGTATTGCGGCAGTTGCTCTCTCGTGACGCTTTCTGGTATGCCACGGAAGCGGATATTATTTCTGCGTGAGCGATCTTCCATGTCCGCTAATTTCCTTTTTAGGAACTGCTGTTCACTCACTAATTGTTGTACTGTGTCTGCCAGGGCATCTTGCGCTGCGCATATGTCGTCAGTGCGTGTTTCTAAATTGTTTGTTCTTTCCCCCAGATCTGTTATTTCTTTCTTAATATCATTTGTGGCTTTCTTCAGATCAGACTGCAGGATGAGTCTAAAATCCTTCAGCATTGCATACAGCTTTTTTTCTGTGACTGGGGCATCAGTGTATCTTTGCTCCTCATACTCTGTGGGAGGATTTGAGGCCTGTGAGGATTCCAGCTCCTCACCGCCGCCATCTTGCGCCGGCCGCGACCGGTCTTTTTTCCCGTGGCGGATCGGATCCGTCAGTTTTGTTTGTTTTGCCGGGGCCATGGGAGGTGAGGGGGAGATACCTCTCCTGTTTTTCGCCGTCAGCCGGGGGGTAAGAGCTGCTATAATTCACGCTTTTGCCGTCTCGGACCGGGAGCTCTCACTCCATGCGTCCGTTCCTCTCGGCAGTCGGACACGCCCCCCTCCATTTTATTTTCTATATAGCCTGTTCTATGGCCAGATGTCCTGCATCTCCTTACAGAGTTCACCTGATAAGGCTTGGAGTTGGGTTTCCATATTTGTCATGAGGGTGGCAGAGAGGCCTGCTAGTAGGACTTTCATTTCAGTGGAGGTGACTCGCTGGGCATTCTATTGTCTCACACATATTATATTAAACATGCAAAAAGAAACCTAGAGTTGATGTATGTTCTTTAATTGTTTTTTTCCAGCAGAGAAAGCACCATTTAGTAGATAAGGAAAACAAACAATACATATTTCTTTATGAAAAAAAAGCTTTGCAACTTAAAAATAAGTACTTTTCCAAGCAAACTTTGACAATTATAACATTTTATAAACATAATTACATGATTGTTTTTGATCTTTTTATTTACCAGCAAGTCAGAGTCTTGTAAGGAGAATAATGTCATTTTAGGGGGCTTAGTTTTTCATTTGTCAATTTAATTAGTCAATTTTTTGGTTTTATTTTATCCACCGCAGGTCTCTGATTGAAGTGTAGGTTGTCAGGGTTACTAGTTGGTCCAGCATGTAGAACTGTGTCACACAGATGACTAATAGGTAACGTATTACCCAGTTTGGATAGCCAGACTTAACGTGCAAAAGAGTAGTCAGTAGACTTGCTGAGGTCAGGGGATACAGAAAGAGACACAATGATAAGGAAAAGCCAGAAGTCAGGGATACCAGAATACAGGGAAGTCAAAACAAAGCCAGAGTCAAAAAACAGAAAATACTTGAATCAGGAAAGCACTCTTGGACAACCACTAGGAAACCCACAACAGGGCAATGAGGAAAGGTAATTTGGGGTTTAAATACCTGCTTTACCTTTCTGATTGGCCAAGATCGATCTTTGACCCAAAACGTGCACGCGCAGAGCGTGCTGATGTCTTGTGCACGCCAATGTCGTCAATCATGTGAGCGGACGTGGGGGTATAATTTTCCATGGACCTGCAGTGGCCGGTGTCCATTAGCATGCCACAAGTGTCAGTCATGCAGACGCACAGCCGCTGGATGCAGAAACTGCAAGGTGAGGAAGAATATGTTACACAGGTATGGAGCAGTGTTAATTTTGTCGACTAACAATTTTAGTCAGATTTTAATCGACGAAAATTTTTGAGATTCAACTAAAACTAGATTAAAACAATTCAGATGAGTAAAATACGACTAAAACTAAAATGGCTTTTTAGTCAAAAGACTATGACTGAAACTAAATTGAAATTAGCTGGCAAAATTAGTGGCTAAGACACATGGGGAAGAGAGGAGAGGAAATAAGACACATGGGGGAGGGAGAAGAGGAAATTAAATACATGGAGGCTGAGGGAGTGAGACACATAGGGTGCTGGGGGATTGAGACATGGGTCGGGGGGGGGGTCTATGAGAATAAGACAGGCAGTATTCCAACATGATAACGACCCCAAACACACCTCCAGGATGGCCACTGCCTTGCTAAAGAAGCTGAAGGTAAAGGTGATGGACTGGCCAAGCATGTCTCCAGACCTAAACCCTATTGAGCATCTGTGGGGCAAGGTGGGGGAGCGCAAGGTCTCTAATCTCCACCAGCTCCGTGATGTTGTCATGGAGGAGTGGAAGAGGACTCCAGTGGCAACCTGTGAAGCTCTGGTGAATTCCATGCCCATGAGGATTAAGGCAGTGCTGGAAAATACTGGTGGCCACAAATTTTTTTGACACTTTGGGCCCAATTTGGACATTTGCACTTAGGAGTGTACTCACTTTTGTTGCCAACGGTTTATACATTAATGGCTGTATGTTGAGTTATTTTAAGGGGACAGCAAATTTACACTGTTATGCAGGTTGTACACTTACTACTTTACATTGTAGCAGAGTGTCCTTTCTTCAGTGTTGTCACATGAAAATATATAATAAAATATTCACAAAAATGTGAGGAGTGTACTCACTTTTGTGAGGTACTGTATATACTACACATTCTATCCACAGCTGCATCCTCTACATATTTTGTACTTTAGTTGTTCTGCAAGTGAATACTTTTTGGCTTATCCCTTGGGAAAGCTGAATATTATAAAGTCTTACTAGCTAGGTCTGTTTTAACCACACCTAAAACTTTGTGTGAGGTTGAGGAACATATTTACCAAACATTTTTTGTTTTCTTCCTTCTCTGTGACAGCCTATATTATGTCCAGGGGTAAGTCTCGGTAGCTTTTGATTGACATTATTTTGTTGATTTCTTCTCTTGGAGAAAGATTCCCTCATGTGTAGTTCCTGCTTTTGTTCCCCATCTGCTATTGTTATTCTTGTTGCTTTGACCAATGGCTAAATGACACCATATTTATGATTCTGAGTGTGATGAAAGAGTGGAGCTATGTAGAATATCAGAATCAAAGGATCTTAGATGAGAGATAGCTTCAAAGACATGCCATTTAACATTACATGCATCTCTCTGTGTCTTGAAAGAATGAATAACTGGGATGGCTGTACATGATATGTGATTGTGGCTGAGTAAAATGTTCAAGTTGCCATGTACTAGGTCATCAGGACTCCCCACCCTGGTCTAAACATACTTATTTCTTCTTACGTGAGGACTTTGCATCAAGAGAGACTATTCCATTGTGCATTTATTTTACATATTATTATATTTTTTTTATCTGGATGCAGAGTGGGAACCATGTTGTCCATGTTGCAAAACTAGTTCTTAAACACCAGGAACTAGAGAAAGGTGTAGAGGTGTAGAGCTAGTAGCTGTATACTTGATCCCTCTAAACAACCTGCATATTGGTTGGATAAAGGAATGAGGGTCTCTGAGAATCTCTACACTATGCTGATTATACCTCACATGCATACAGAGCTACACATGACACTGGAAAAAGACTAGTGGATATTAGCAATACCCTGTTATATTAATTAGTTTTCTCCTGTTATGTTATACAGAAATAAATGGAGAAAGAAAAACCAAATTGCAAATAATTAATGTATGAAAAAAAATAGAAACGGGTAACATTTTGACATACAGCAAGATCTGGTAGTCTTGTGAGTTCCAAGGATTGTTATTTTGTTACAAATAGACATAATCCCACGTTTATTACATAAACTGCAAATATTTCTCAAAGGCTTATCACAGGACAAAAAAAAAGGTTAATTATTAACATGCGTTGACCAACTGCAAATGACACCATATTTACTGAATAATCTCAATAAATAAATGCTGTTGACTAAATATACTATGCAGTTTGGTTAGTAAAGCTGAAGTTACAATGGTTTTGTAATGGGCCTACACAATGTTGCAACAAATAGCTAACTTGGGTAAATGTATTCAAACAAATCACAGTGCCTAGTTTGCTTCTAGTAGATATGGGTTTAAAAAATATCCAGATTCCCACTACATTATAGAAACACTCCAAGCACCATAACCACAACAGTGTTGTGCAGTGATTATGCTGCCAGAAGTACCCTTGATCCCACAATATAAATAGTCAAACTGTTTAAGAATGGTTTGACTTCTTAACTAGGGTCTACCAAACATTGTTCCCCACCTTCACTACATCTGATAGAGGACTACAAGCTCCCCTCAACCCTCGGTGTTTCTCTTTCTCCACAGTCCCTTTGTATTTCTCTAAATCTCCCCAGCACCTTTGTGTGACTATTAATCACTACAGTCCCTTTATGTGTCTCTTTCTCCCCTTCTCCAGTCCCCTTGTAGAAGGGGAGCTGTTTTCACACTCGTTTGATGAATAAGTAAGTCTTAATGTGCTGCTAGTTGCATTAAGATTAGGACTGATGCAATGTTTGCTGTTGGAGAGAATATCTTTGTAATCAACTCATTTTATGTGATGGTAACCTTTACCAGCAATTTCAGTTTTTATTGCATACACCCATCGACCCACCCCACCACCACCACACTGAAAATGTATCGTATGGTAAGGTGGGTGAATGCTCTTTCTCCTCTTCTCCAGCCCCTTCTCCTCTGTGTGTCTCTTTCTCCCTTAGCCCCTTTGTATTTCTCTTAATCCCCCACAGCACCTTTGTTGGTCAATTAATCCCTGCAGCCCCTTTGTGTGTCTCTTTCTCCCCTTCTCCAGCCCCTTTGTGTGTATATTTCTCCCCTTTCCCTGTGTGTGTCTCTTTCTCCCTCTATCCCCTTTTTATCTCTTCCCAAGCCCCCTTCTCTGAAACTGCTATGTTTTCAGCTGCAGGGTTAAAACTAGAGGGACCTGGCACCCAGACCACTTCATTGAGCTTCGCTGAAATCCCCATAGGAAAGCATTGAATAATGCTTTCCTATGGGGAGGTCTAATGCACGTGCGTGCCCATTGCCGCGTATGCGCATAAGGTCTCCCCCGCCGGCTGACGTCGGCGGGGGAGGAGAGTAGTCGGAAGCCTGACCCAGTGCCGAGGGACATCGGCGCTGGACTCTGGTAAGTCACTGAAGAGGTTTTAACCCCTTCAGCAACTTGTGATGGGGGGTGGGAGGGAGAGGGGCACTACAGGGTCCTGCAGTGCCAGGAAAACTAATATGTTTTCCTGGCACTGGAGAATCCTTTTAACATAATCTTTTTTTCTTGTGCCTACATTCTGCATCTCTGTGTCGCCCTGTTAAACCTGTTATACCACAGTGGCTTTCTGCCATTTTGATTACTGCAGTACACTCTGGCCCTGTGCCCTCTTTGGCTACAATTATAAAAAGTAATAATAGAATTTTCCACCATTCTAAATATAAAAGTCACATTGCTCACTTTTAACACTATCATTATTTGTGATAGCACAGTAATGTTCAGTATTGTGTCTTAAACTCTACAATAGGAACTTTTGAATGTCATTGGCTGAAACAATTCTGAATCATGGCAAATAGCAATACTTTGGCTGTCTCTGCATGTATTACATAGTCTGTCATACTTTCATTAGTTACATTTTGAAGGGATATTAGTTCAGCATACAAATGGACTATTCTGGGCTTTCCCTCACTTGCCTAATCTTTTAATATTCAAAGCTTGTTTCTTTCATCATCAGTTGTCTCCCTCGTCATTAAAGACAGACTCTTATCATTTAAGAATTTAATTAGTTAGCATATGCTTCTTTATTTTTACTTTTGTTTTCATCCTCATCATTGTTATTATCACTTCATTTAAAATGGGTTTCTTAAAGCGGCACTGTCATGCCGAATCCTGTTTTTTTTAATCCCCCTCCCGCCTCCACAATCTCTAATTGACACCCTAGTCACTCCCAAATGCCCCTAAGCCCCCCACATTACCTATTTTTTTATCTTTATTTTCTGCCCCGATCTATATTCAGGGCGCCGCCATCTTTGTGTGGGTAGATGAAGTCCCTGTGGGACACGTCATCTGCCCACACTAGATAGCACTGAGATTCCTGCACATGCCCACTGAGGTCCCCCCCCCCCTCATTATCATTATGATCCCCACCCACCACGCAGGGCTGGGGGCCAATAGGTCTCCCCCCTTATTTTACTTTAGGGCCCCCACCCGTCGTTTAGGGGTGGGGGCCAATAGTTTTTTGGGTTTTTTTTTTTACATTGAGCAGCCACAGGCATTTACAGTATTAGTAAATGTGCCTGAAGGACCAATTTAAGTCTTTCAGCCGTTTAGTAGATAACTCCCTGATACCGTGGGAATTAGGGAGTTATCTACTAAGCGGCTGCAAGATGCAGCCACAGCAAGAATACGATCGGAGTTTCATTAATTCGAATGAAATTGCGATCCGAACAAAATGCCGAATTGAGTTCTAAAAGAAATGAACATACTGTTCTCATTCAGTTAATACTCAATTCGGCAGTTTCGGCTAAAATGACAGGAAGCATCGCAGGAACACAGAGGAAAGGTAAGAATTATGGGAAAGTTGCACTGATTTTAAAGAAAACTAAAGAAGACTGGAAGAAAAGAAGAACAGATCCTGAGATAGGGGGAGAAGAGGAAGAGATTCAGGAAAGGTAAGTTCGGCATGACAGTGCCGCTTTAAGGTTCATTAATCACTTCACTACCAAGCTGTTTGCACGAGAAAAATTTAGGTGTCCTCGCAAGTATTGTATAAATATATTTTTCATTTCAGTATGCGTATATAGCACATCATTAGAAGGAAACAAAAATAAAAAATGTGGTTGTACAGAAAAAAATTAAGAAAAATCATTTACCAAATAAAATGAAGTAACAGGCAACTAAACAGTGTAAATCAATATTGTACAATTATAATATATGTTGTCACTTTGCCATGACATTGCCCATACCATATCCCTATAATGCAGCCATGGTGCTTCTTAGGACACATCAAAACTAATACTTGCACACAAATGTACACACTGAAACAGGCACATTTTTACACACGTTCATGCACACACATACATATACACAGATATTAGAACAAAATAAAAAAAATACCAGTTTAAATAACACCTAGTGCATAAATGTAAAATATAAAACACAAACTAATACTTAATCCAAGATTGTTTCTGGTATCTCAAAACAGTGTAAGATACATAAAAAACAAGAATTAAAAACACATAGTGTGAACTGTAAAAACAATAATAGCTAAAGGATGGGGTTAGAGTATCACTCACATGACCCAGAGCCGAACCAGCCTTAAACATTTTCTTTTTTTTTTTTTACATACACAGATATATACCGAACACACTCACTGATACAACTGCCAGAAACTATAAACATGCACAAATATTGACTGTCACCACACATAGACACACATCCTCCAGCACACACAGGTACACAATGTCAGAGACCTATATAACACTCACACAGACATCAAAATACACTGTTTGATACGTACACATTCTGACACACACACACACACACACACACACACACAGTCTCACACACAGACACAGTGCCAGTAACACACGATATAAGACACATACACATATATACATGCTGACAGACTATTAGCCCTTTTGGCATTAGCCCATTGGCCATCTCTGATTTTGAAAACAGTTGAGTGTCTGTTGTCATGGTTATCTGCTACTTGATTAACCCTTAACGCCGCTACGGAGTTCTATGCCGTCCCGCATTAAATGGGCTTTAAAGCCGTTGTGGCGGCATAGAACGCCGTAACGGCTTGCAGCCCATTGAGCCTCCAACTACTCTCCTCCACCACGATCCTCTTCTCGAAGGCTGCCTGACAGCCCAGGCAGCCCTCCCCTGGCAAATTAGGCCCCCCAGGGCCATGTGATCGCTCTTTGATTGCTGTGGATCTGCCAGCAGGGGGACTGTCTGAAATGTCAGACAGTCCCCCTGCTGGTGGGTAGTGTAAACAAAAATTTTTAAACATGTTTTAAAATAAATTAAATGTGTATATATAAAATATATATATATTATATATATAATATATAAACATCTTATATTTATGTAACGTCATACATGGTGTATTTTAATATTAATATAAGTATATTAGTATTAAAATACACTTAGAATGACATATATATATATATATATATTACATCTATATATATATATTTTATATTTATATATACATACATATAATTACAATAATAAATAAAATATTTTTAAAAAATTTAAGTACATTATATATATATATATGTGATTTCATTATAACTGTATTTTGTTATATATATATATATATATATATATATATATATATATATATATATATATATATATATATATATATATATATATATAACTTCCACAAGAAAAGGCTGCTCTCCGGACTTAAAATCAAAGATTTTATTGAAAATATTTAAAAATGATGACCAACGTTTCGGTCCCCGATCGGGACCTTCCTCAGGGTCAGAGACAACAGGACAACAATAAACAGTATACAAAGTGACAATATATACCATTACATTAAGTGATTGGAAAGTTATTCTAAAACAGTCAAGCACAACATACGGGGAAGCATACGATGTCTGGGGTGTATTACTTGTGGACATATGATTCCAGCAAAGAAATTTAATCACCCACATACTAATAAAATATATGATATAAGACACACTATTACTTGTAAAACCCCCTTTGTTGTATATAAATTGGTGTGTCCGTGTGGCCTCTATTACGTAGGAAAGACAGAAACACCTCTGTGTGAGAGGATTAGGGGCCACCGCTCGAGTATAAGATTAGCGTACAGGGATGGCCAGTCTGATAAGCCAGTTGCTCGGCACTTTCTTGATAAAAAACATCCCTTAGCATCCCTTAAATTTGTGGGTATTGATCATATACCCCTTCCCCGCAGGGGGGTAATAGGGGGAAGATGTTGCTTCAGAAAGAGGCTTTTTGGATACACCAATTAAATACAATATCTCCCATGGGTCTTAATGAGAGCATCACGTATCATTCTTTTATATAGGTTTAACCAGCTTGTTACTATTGTTTTTAAATATTTTTATGTTTAATGAATTTCTCAGGAGCAGTGTGTCTATAATTATGCCAAAGTGTTTTTATATGTATGATATATTTGATTACACATATGTTGTTTATGAGCACTTATAATGCACTTTATTATATGCATGCTATCACTTTAAAAATTTTATATATGAATTTTTTTTGATTCACTGATGAGTGCAATTTCACATTTAACTATAACTAGGGCTCATACACCGATGGGTCAAATTTTAGTGGCTTTATTATCACTTTAATGAAGTGTCACTTACCTAGGTTCACTAGGTGTTCTTGTGGTTAGGGATATATGATACACAATGTGCCCATCACAAGATTTGTTTTAAAATAAGCACTTATATTACTTATGTATGGCATTAATTTTTTCTTCCCTATTCTCTATCCTGGTATAGACTCCTCTTGTTGTAAGAGGGGTCTTTGTATATATGGTTGCTAAGGAGACCGGTCTATGTGACCGGGAGTACGTCGGCACGTAACATAGTATGATGAAGGGGCGGAGCACGTATTGACGTGCGCGTGCATACCCGGAAATTCACTGGGTGCCGGCGGGAAATGAGAATAGAACACCTGGGTGAGTCATTTCACTTAATGTAATGGTATATATTGTCACTTTGTATACTGTTTATTGTTGTCCTGTTGTCTCTGACCCTGAGGAAGGTCCCGATCGGGGACCGAAACGTTGGTCATCATTTTTAAATATTTTCAATAAAATCTTTGATTTTAAGTCCGGAGAGCAGCCTTTTCTTGTGGAAGTTATACCTATTGGAGCTTTGGTGGTGCGCCCGGCATTTGGAATACTTCAAGCGTGAGTGCAGGGGATGTTGATATTTTTTTTATATATATATATATATATATATATATATATATATATGTGTAACAAAATACACTTAGAATGACATT